CAAAGTTAGCATCCTAAAACTTCTTGATTTCAAAACTTACTGTAAAGCTATTGTGGTTAAAATGGCTACTGGCATAAAGACATATTTATAGATGTATGGGATAGAATTGAGAACCCAGAAATAAACACTAACATTTACAGTAAATTGATCTTGGCAAGGGTTCTGAGACTATTCCATGGGAAAAAATAGAAAGAGTCTCTCCGGCAAATAATGCTGGGATAATTGACCATGATGTGGAAAAAGAGGTAAAGCTGCACCCTCATCTCACAGCATAGAGAGAAACGCATTCAAAGTGGACTGTAGACCTAAACACACAAGCAAAACTATAAAACTCTTAAAAGAAACATAGATTTAAATCTTCATGATTCTATGGCTTCTAGATATGACACCAAAGGCAGAAGCAACAAAACAACCAAGAAAAAAAGTAAAGTAGATGTCATCAAAATTAATTTAGTGTTTAAAGACCACCACTGACAGATTTAAAAGACAGATCAACAAATGAGATAAAATTTCTGGAAATCATTTATTTGGTAGGAGACTCATTTCTAGAATATATAAAGAACTCTTACAACTCAATGATTATGTAACCCAATTTTTAAAGGGGAAAAGAATCTAAATAGACATTTTTTCCAAAGAAGATGTACAAATGTCCAACAAGCAGCTACAAAGATGTCCAATGTCATTAGCTATTAGGAAAAAGCAAATCGAAACCCCAGTGAGATACCACTCACACTCACTTGAACAGTATTATATTAGTTTCCTATCTTCTTTATTACAAATTCCTACAATCTTAGTGGCTTAAGAACACCACTTCTGAAGACCAGACGTGTAAGGTCAGCTTCATTGGACCTAAATCAAAGTGTTGACAGAGTTGAATTCCTTCCAAAGGCTCTAGGGAAGAATCTAAGTTTTGTCTCTTCTAGTTATTTGTATCTGCTGGCATTCCATGTCTGTCGCAACGTAATTACAATCTCTTTCTTGCTTCTCATCTCTATATCCAGATTTTCCTCTGCCTCCTTCTAGGTAATATTCCTAGTTAAAAACAACTACAATTGCATTTAGAGCCCCCTGAACAATCTGAGATAATCTCTCCTATTCCAAGATCCTTAAATTAATCATATCTGCAAGGATTCTTTCTATATAAGGTAATATGCTCAGGTTCCAGGGATTAGAACCCAGAATTCTTCAGGGGCCTTTATTTAGCCTACTACTACTATCATCAAAATACAGATAATGAATAAAAAGTGTTAGTAAGGATGCAAAAAATCTAGAATCATCATACACAATTAGGGAATGCAAATGGTACAGCCGCTTTGAGAAACAGTCAGATGGTTACTCAAAAGATTGAGTAAACAGTTGCTGCATGACTCAGTAATTCCATTCTTAAATATAAAACTACTCAAAACAAATGTTCACACAAAAATTTGTACAGAAATGTTCATAGCAGCATTATTGAAATAACCCAAAAGTGGAAACAACTCAAATGCTCATCAACTGATAAATGGATAAATAAAATATAACCATACAGTGAAAGATTGTTCAGAAATTTAAAAAATGAAGTACTGATTCATGCTACAACATAGAAAAAAACCTCAAAAACATTACACTAAGTTAAAGAAGCCAGTCACAAAAAGTCACTTATTATGTGATTCCATTTATGAGCAATGTTCAGAATAAGCAAATCTTCAGAGACAGAAAGTAGATGATGTTACTTATGGATGAGAGGGATGGGGAATTCTGAAGTAGTAAGTAGGAGGTACAGGATTTCTCTTTTATTAATTAAAATGCTCTAAAATTGGCTGTGGTAATGAATGCACAATACTGTGATTATACTAAAAACCACTGCATTGCATACTTTAAATGGCTAAACATTGAGGTATGTGCATCTCAATAAAACTGTTTTTTAAAAGTGTGGTTTTAAGGCATCTAACTTCAAAGTAGTATTTGCATGCATAAGCTGAGTGTCCATTCTAAGCAAATCACTTTGACTGAAATCTGAAGTGAAAGTATAGCCTCAGATTTCTGCCTTGATATGTATGTGGTGTAAGTAAGGACACCAGCTTCCAATGGCAGTAGTGGTCAGCCTCCAAGGAGCCCCCAAAGATTCTTGTCTCCCTGTACTCAAACTCTTTTATAGTTCCCTCCCAAACTGCACCAGTTGATCTGTGTGACCAGTAGAATATGGTAGAAATTATGGCATGGCTATAAAAAGATGTTGGCTTCTACATGCATATATAATTGGATAAAAGAAAATTATATTATAATGTTTTAGTTTTCCATTCTTTCATCTTCTTTCTTTTACTTTTTACTTTATTTTGAGCAGAAATTTGATAAACTAATGGGGGGAGTCGATGTTCTGTTATCCCTATCAGTATTATTCATTGAGAGCCATTTATAAGAGTTTGGCTTAAAAATTCCATCCAATAGATTACAAGAGATAGGTAGAAACCAATACAATATAAGAGCAAAACCAGTTTCTACCCTTATACATGCATGCTTATGTGCTAAAATTATTAAGATGTCTTATATATCCCAAGACCAATTATCTATTGTAATAGGTGTATCTTTAATGATATACCTTTTCCAAGGAAGAAACTTGTGAAAGTGTTGGCATTTTAAACCACTTAAAGTGGAAAAAAAGCTCTCTCCTTTGTTCTCTGTCCCACCCAACATTTTCACAGTGATCTTACTACATAAAAGCTAAACAAATATATTATTCAGTAATACAACAAATAGTACTCATAATAACTCACAAAGTGTTTAACTTGTTAAAGAGTTCCTGGCAAAGGAATAGCCTAAGAAAGGAAAGGCTACAACTTCAGATATGTGTATGAAATTTTTTAAAAGAAACGGACAAATGATTAAATGTGAGTTATCATGTGAATGAAGTCAAAGCCAATATTCCTCCAAAACCCCCCAGCATGCAATATTTGGTGTCTTTCAGGCATATGATCCATTAAGAATGAGTAATGGTAGCCACAGAGAATTCCATTCTAATGGATGCCTGTGATCCAAATGTTAAAGATAGATTTGTCCTTTAATCACCTAACAAATATTTATGAGCATCTAGTATCCTGGAAATGTCTCAAATTTTTTTTCATTCCTTTTCAAATTTTGAGACACAACAGGTTACACTTATAGAAATTTTCTCTTGAATAAATTATCTTCATGAGTATTATTAATGGTTTGTGTTAATTTGCATCATGCATGGGGAGCGTGATTAATTTTACATTTTATGGTCATACCATTCTGTAAGTAGTGGTCATACCACTCTGTTGGAAGGCAGAAATAAGGACTTAAAAAGACTGTCAATGAACTCAATCTCTCTTTCATGCAAACTGCTCTGTGTTTGTATGAAAGGAAACTTTAAGCTTAGCAAAGAAATGTACATATTTAGGTACGGCAAATCAAATGTATTTCCAGTCAGTTGGCACGTTAATTTGTAAAGGGTAATTCTGCATGTTGTGTGTGGTCCTGTGCTTTTCCATCATTAAGAACCTATCACCTTGTAAGTAGTATCTACAAATGATCACTGGATAGATGATGGTCTGACTAAACCAATGCTCTATAAAGATAAGGATCATGACTTGTAAGAGCACTGTGTCTGTGATGCTTCCATAAGTTCCTGGTACTTGGTGCTTAAAAATTTTTGGTTTAATGAGTGAATGAATGAAAGACTTTCAAAGCAGATAATATTATGGAAGAGTGCCAGTGATTTAGAAAGACTTACTCATAGTCTAAATTGAGTCTGTAAAAAATTTCAAAAATGAAGGTGAGAAATATAAATTCCTTTGAGGATCTATTACAAGTATTTTTCTAGCCAGAATGCCCTGTCCTTGTTTCTTGAGTGCAGGATACATGGATTCATACGTGCAAATGAGCTTGTTCTGAAACCTTAGGCAGCATGAGGCAGGCTGCAAAGTCCATGGTATGACAGTGAGTCAGCCCATGTTCACCACAGACTCACTGGTTACAAAGTAGCCTGTCAGGCTTATCACAAAGAAAACAGAAGTAGTGTGGTGACTGGGCTTGTCTGAGTTCTTGCACATTCTGCCTGCCTACTTTCTGCTCACATCACTGTGCCGCTCTTCTGAAGAAACTCAAGTACTGACTGTGATCAGCAACCTCTGCTCCGAATACAGCATACTCATGAAGTTCCCATTATAGAGAAGAGGCTTGGGAACAAAGAAATTATGGGCACAGCCACAAAGGCAACAGGCAAGAGGGAGTTAGTGGGGAATAGAAAGAACCCTTGTCTATGAGACACAACTGAAATCGAATTGCTGGGTCACCTCATTAGTGGCATTGAGTATTGGCAGTGCCATGCTCCAACCTACAGTCAACAAAGTGATTAAACTTTGTGCTGTAATTAGTAAGCAATGTTTCGTTCCATTTCTGTAGGATTTTAATTCTGATAAGCTGAAAAGAACATCAGAGCAGAGTAATTTCTAGAAACATGGGTAAATTGATATTTCTGTTCTCTCTGTCTTAGATACAACTCAGTTTGGCCATTAAGGTTCCATTTATGCATTTTGAATTGTAGTTTCTAAATTTTTTTATTAGGATGCATTCATTGTACAGGGGGTTCGTTGTGACAATTCCAAATAGGCTTATATTGTACATTGGTTAGATTCCCCTATTGTATCTCCACCCCCACCCATGTAACCCTCTCCCTGTCCCACTTAAAGCAATTGCAAGAGGATTCTTTGTTCTATTTTGTATAAGTATATGAAGTCCATCAACCATATTCCCTCACCTTCATCTCCTTCATTCAGTCTCCCCTCCCACAAGTACCCACACACCCACACTGTACTTATTTTATAGTCCTGTTCTTCATTATTTACATCTAAGTTGATGTTCAAAGGGGTTTCTCAGTGTATCCCCACTGTGAGTATACTTTACTTTGGTCCGTTCAATCCCTTCCATTACTCTCTCTTACCCTTCCCTCCCACCCCCTTGAATTATAATTTATGAAAAGAAAAGGAAAAGAAATAGCCTACCCACAACTTGTCCCATTTGTCACATTCTGGTTGAAGGAGCTGTTGATCCATACAATGGTGTTATTCACACATGCTTTTCCTGGAATACTAAGTTCTTGTATCTCAATGTCATAGTCAATAAAAAGATCTGTCAGTATACCAAAAACAATAAGTATGGCTGGATGGGCGATTCCGTGGAGTATTGCACATAAACTTCCCACAAGCATCAGCCAAATGTCAGTCGATGAAGAAAATCGAAACTTGAAAAACAAAGGGTTCAGAGATCATCTATGGGTGAAAAGCAGGAAACGTAGGAGGACTATTTAATTTTATTTAATAGATTTTGATAAATAGTACTCAACACCAAGTTTTATGGGAACCATCTTAGAACAGTAGAGTTCACACTGATCATATCAAAATAAACTGTACATCAATTATTTAAAACATTAAATTCTTACATTGTTAGATCATGTTCTTTCTTTCTCAGTCTCTGAACTCATTCTCTATCTCAGGAACAGACTTCAGTATTTTGCTACTCATTGCAACTTAAGGGGCAACTAGTCACCCTTATAGTTGCAACTGCCAGGTAGATATACTGTGGGCCATTCATCAGTGCCATAAATTGGCACTTGAAACTGTTCATGACAGTGAAAAGTACCTAAAAATGCCTTCATCCAGTATAAATTTTGGGTAAATATCTAAGCTACAGAATTTCCAAAGACTTGTCATAAGAATAAAAATATTTGGCATAGATACTATGATGATTTTCCTTACTAAAATGATAATTATGGGTTCAGTGATTATTTTTCAGGAGACTGTGCTAATCAGACAGGATTTGTGTGTTTAATCAGTAATATATTTGTAATCACAATTGAACATATTATCACATAGATAAAATTTATGACTGAATAACTGATCACTGCAGGTAAAACCTAACAATATGACTAAAGAGTTAGCATTTCCTCCATGGTCTGCACAATTCATGGTTGCTAAACCAATGACATAAATAAGCAGTTTTATTACCAGTTGAAAGAAGCCAACTTGAGTGCTTTCACTTTTCTTTTTATTTTGTAATCTGAAAAGCAAAACAGGAATTTAAAGGCCATTCTTCCCAAAACAATGAGAAATTATCCCTACTTGGTGGTGCTTTTATCAGTCTTTTTTTTTTTTTGAAACAGAATCTTTCTATATAGTTCAAACTGGCCTCAAACTCACTGTGTTGCCCAGTCTAGCCTCAAACTCTCAAACCTCTTCCATCAGTTTCCCGAGTACTGGGATTATACTTGTATGCCACCACACCCGGCTAAATGAGTCATTCTTTAGTAAGAAAGAAAGTCCCTACTGTCTGGGAAATTCTATCCACACCCAGTATTTTTAAAAGAAACTTTTATTCGTCTAGCGATTTTGACTGGAACTATATCTAATGTTCTATAGAGATTAGTGAATTAGTGAGAGGGACTGAGAGAAAATAAAAAGCCCAGATACTCCCAATTATATCAACAAATAACTATTTGTGTTTGGCCATGACCCTTGATCTATTTATGTCTATATTTCCCTGAGTAAATTGAAGCCGAATCAAAGCTTCCTTCACGCACTGAGAAACTTGGCATTCACGTTAAGCATACTCTCATATTTCCATAGGGCTGAATCTCTCTAGTGTTGTTACCCATTTCATTTCTCGTAAGGTCAGGCTTAACTTCTCTTTGGCCTCCCCAACTCCAGGGATCTCCACTTGATCTAAGTCACCCATTCCATGGACATACCCTGGACCTTGCTGTCACCAGAACTACTAGTCTTATGACAGATTTAACCACACTCCCACTCTGCAGCTGCATGAAGCTTCATTCCTTCATTCATACTATTTGTCAACCTTAATTAGATCTGCAGTCCTCTGAGTCCTCCAGTTACTTACAATTGATAAATCCCATCAAGATTTTGCTTCTTTCCCCAAGTATCCCAGGTCTCACTGCAGGACATTTAAACCACATTCTCACAACCATCCTCAATCTTTTCCCCCAAAGCCATTTTTGGAAACTTTCTCTGCATACATCCAGCTGTTTGCTCCGCTCCTCCTTTAGCCAGGCTGCTGGACCTGCTAGAGACAGCCTCCCACCTAGTGGACTAAATCCAATACACAAAGTACCTTTCCTGTGGCTGTCCTAATCTTCCCTTCCAACCCAAAGTAGAATCTCGAGACCAAAGTCCCTTATGGCCCAGCCCGATCAGCTCTCTGACCTTGTCTCTTCCCACTGTTCTCAGCAACCCAGTTACCTGGCCTCTTGCTGAATTTTGCCCATGCCAAGTGTGTGCCCACCTCTGGATGTTTGTGCTTACTAATCTCTCTCCTAAAATATCTTTTCTTCAGGACATGGATAGCTACCCTCACATTGTTCAGACCTTCCTTCCAAAGTCACCTCAACAGGGCACTCACTGGTCAAGTCTTTAAATATTCAACCGTCTTCTATCTAACACCCATGCTATTTCAAATCTTTGTTTCCATGTTTACTCTTTTTTTCTGAGAAAGAGATAGGCTGTCACTAGCTACCCTGCATATATTTTATTTATTTGTTTGTTTATTATGTTGATTGTATCTCCCTCACTAACATGCCTTCCTCAATGGTAAAGACCTTTGCCTAATTTGTTCTTTTCTGTACCCTCAGCAGCTGTAATAGTGCCTGACACCTCACACACATTCAATGAATATTTGTGAAATAAATGAAAAAATGATGAATGAATGAATTAGTGAACATGTACTCTCCAGCTTGATCCACAACTTTGAACTTCATCCTACTATAGATCACTCTCAGTAGCCTTGTCAAACTTCTGCTGCAATCCTCACATTCTGCATTTGCCCTCTCTAAAAGCAAAAGAACTCACACAACTTCCTACTCATCTCTTCATTGCCATTCATCTACACGTATACCATTGTCTCTTTCCCAACCAGTGAGAAAAGTGTGACTTAGAAGCTGAGGCTGACCTGACCATTTTTAGCCCAGTTAATCAAACCATTCTCATTGTCTCCCTCTACCATGAAGTACTTAAAAACTCCTCAACTCTTCCCTTTCTAGCACCATGTCAGCAACTCACCCAGTACCTCCCTTCTGCCTCCTGAGGTAGACCATCCATTCCTGCTTCCATACTGACATTATTTTATATGAGAACTTAAACTTTTAAGCCAAAGAGAAATACTGAATTTAAGTTTCTACTATCTGTCTGTAGAAAGAATTTGAGGTGTAGCAACCTCCTTGTGCCCATGAAATCACATCTGTCTTCCAACCTTTCCTAAGCTCCCTTAGGTTCTGTGATATTCCAGGATACAAGGGAAAGATTTGGGGCTAACCCTGAAGGGATATTCCAAAAGATTTAAAAGTCAAATAATAATAATGTTTTAAAGAGAAGAATGGATTGTATATTCCACATTATAGTAAATATAATGTGCATATAATGTGCATGAAATATAATGTTTTGTGCCTTTTACAAGAATATTATGGAATTATTCTAGAGAAGTTGCTAGATTGTTGAAAGAGACACTTACCTTGACTTTTTATCATTGTTATCTGTCAGGATAAAAAAACCAGTGCATAAAGAAGTTAATAATGGCAAAAATGCAACATTGTAACAACTTTGCTCTAAAAACATTCCTGTAAAGCACTTTTATTCAAGTAATATTACAAAATGATTCTCTTTCCTCTTTCTTTTCATGCTCTTTCTCTCCACACACACACATACATTTCATGTATATTATAGAAAAGACATGTTCTATAATTACTTCAGGCTCAAAACTGCTGCCTTGATATATTTCTGGACTTTTCTCTGGGTCATAAAATATTCCTATCTTCTGAGTATCAAATGGAGACCAACGTTTCTAAATTAGCCAAACAAAATCTGATTTTTTTGAATTATAAAAAAAAATATGAATATCAGCTTGTTGTTTGGTTCCTTAGAAACATCAGAATTTAGATATTGAATAGAGCACAAATTAACTAGACTATAAGTTGTCATTGACACTTCCCTTCCAACAAAAGCCATGATACTGAGCCACTTCCCCCAGCACAGTTCAGAGAAAATGTAGGGTAGGAGATGTAAGGGTGGGGCGGGGAGGGAGTCTAGGGTCATGGGTGTAAGAAAGCCACAGGGAAAAGAACCATAAGAACCATCTATTACCATGGGATGTCACATCTTGGTTCTCCTGACATTTTGATTTAAATAAGAGTAAAGAGACATTATAGTGTAAGCAAAGAGCAATATCTTGGGCTTAAGGATCAGCAAGAATTAGATTAGAATAATGACCCCACTAATTATTATTCATATGACCTTTGCCATGTTTTTTAAAAGTTATCCAAGTCTCAATTTCTTTCTCTATAAAATGTAAAAAAATCATGGGATTTAAAAATAAAATAATAGCTTAGAATCCTCTGAGCTTATAACATACTAGGTAGTCGTGCTGCAGGCCCCTTCCAATTTTCTCATTCTGGCCGGCAGAGACCTGATGCAGCTTCTCTAAGGAGCACCACTCAATGATTGCTCTGCCATTACTGTGATGGATATTAACAATATGAGAATAAAGTTCATATTAATAGCCAGTGCTAAGAGCCCAACTCTACCTAGGAAAGAGGTACATACCTTGTGCATTCTTACCTAGAGCTCTCAAGCATCACATTACATGGACTAAAGGGAGAGCCAGTAGGTGTATTTCAGACTCGTGTCCAGTAATAGTTCTACACATGGTTGTTGATTTTTCCTTTGCTCCTTGAAACTTCACTAGCTTGTCTCACTTTTCTGTTTACCTCTCTTTTTACAAGTCAACAAATCTAAGAGGCCACTTACATGATCCATCTGACTCAAAAGCATGATTCTCTTCCCCAAATTTCTTCACACTGCGAAGAATTACTGAGTCAGACATGATAACTGCAGACTGCAGTCAACAACTCTATAAAATAGATAAAAAATAAAATAATTATTGCAATTATTGTATCTTTAAACAAAGTGGTCAAAAGAACAAATTGGTTCAAGAAACAATGCAAATCAATCTCAAACAAAAACAGGATTTTTTTTAAAAATTGGCTATTAAATGATTCATCAAAGGAGCCTATCTACTAAAAAGATAAAGTGAAACTATTGGAAATGGCTTTCTCTGGTGGTGGATGAGTGATTTTTTAAAGTTATTTGTTGATTCTACTTTGTCATTACTTTATTTATTCTTATGAGTTCACATAAAAGTCATATGAAGGGAAACCAACATGTGTCATTCTTGAATTAGTGCTGATGACAAATGATGCCAATACTGATGGGTAGCCTTCAGTGTTCCTTTGTAGGAATAGCCCCACTGAACTCAGCTGGACTGAGGGAGCAGAGAAGGGAGAGTCTCTGAATAAAGTATAAGTGTCTATACAGTTAGCATTAGTCTTATTCACAGTGGAAAAATCAGTTTGTAAAAGAGGGAGAATTAAAATTTTCAGGATAATTCCAGCATTTTAAATTTTGCATGGAGTTTTGCTTTGCTAACTTCCTGTGCTTCAAACATATAGCAATGATGGGTAAATACAATCAGATTTAAATCAATAAATATAAACAGCTCCATAAACCAGAATGGAAGAAAGCCATCAAAGAAAATAGAGTATAAAGCAGCTGGTATTTCACCTCAGATCCAGATATAGACCAAGGTCTGAGAGTTTAGAGCCTGAGAGGATGGAAGTTCCCCACACCAAACAGGAGATTAGAAAACACCTTTCTTCTTGGAGCCAGAGCCTATCAGGGGCCTTCTGGGAAGCCCCTGATGAACCTGCCACACACAATTGCCTGTGGGAGTTATTTTCTATGATGAAATGAAGACCTATGATGGTTACCTGAAGAGATGGAAATACACATTTCACACACACACGTATATCATATGTACAGATAAGAGAGCTGAAAGTGGAATTGTGAAAATTTTCTGACTTCATTTAGTTGGAATCTCAGAAGAACAAAATAAAGAATAACAAAAATACAATAATTAAAGAAATAATTGCTTGGAATTTCCTAGAAACAGTGACTTGATTCCTCAAATTAATAATAGATGGTTTGATCATGAAGTGTCCAACAAAAAGGCTCATGTAGTGAAGGCTTGTTCTCTGATGTATGCAGTGTTCAGACTTGGGGCTTTCAGGAACTGACTGAATCATGGGGCTCTACCTTCATCACTGGAGTAATCCATTGGTGCACTCAAATGGGAGATGGTAGAACTGTGAAAGGTGGGACCTAGTGGGGGAAGTAGGTCATTAGGGATGTGTCCTGGAAAGATACTTTGTCTCTACCCTTTCCCAGGTCTATCTTTGCTTCCTGGTCACCAAGAGGTAAACAGCCTCATCTTCCATACGACCACAGCAATAACACTCAGCCTCCCTCAGGTCCAACGTAATAGAACCAGCAATCATGAAACCATGAGCAAGAATAAATCTTTCCTCCTTTTCAGTTGTTTATGGCAGGTATTTTGTCAGAATAACAAAAACTAATATGCCCCATGAATTAATCAGAATAAACAAAATTCAGTCAACACTTAGATATAGTGCTGGAGGCATGGCTCAAGCAGTAGAGCACCTGCCTAGCAAATGCAAAGCCCCGAGTTTAAACACCAGCACTACAAAAACAACCTTACATACAGTATGTCAAAATAGTAAAGCATCAAGAATAAACAACACTAATCTTAAAAACTATAAAAGAGGAAAATAACACTATTTGAATGGAAACAACACCCTGATGGCAATTTTCTCATCAACAGCAGGCAGTAGAAGGTAGAATTTTGTACTGGGCCGAAATATCATTCAGCACATTACCGGACATTCAAAGCCAAGTGAGTTTGCCACTTCCAGTCCTGAACAACTATTAGTGGTTGTGCCTTAGCAAGAAAAAAAAATATCCAGAATGAAGTAATGAAAGAGTGAAACAAGAGTGGATACAAGAATTAATAAGTTAGTATAGTCAAATAATGATATTGAGTTTAACCTTTTATCTTCAAAAAGGGCAAAACTAAAACTATGTAATAGGAAGATAGATACTTAACGTGTCGATGAAGTGTTAAGTTCATTGTCATGGAAATCTATTGGCATTGTTTAACATTTGTAATTATATCAGACAAAATTACTAATATTTGACCATTTTACTTATAAAACTATTTAACTTAATTCAACCAACATTTTATAATTTAAGAAAAACCAATTATAAAGTACCAATACAATCAACAGCCTCCAGAAAAGCAAAAGATAAAAAAGTGAGAATATGAAAAACTTTATCAATCTAACAAAAGTCAAGAAAAAAAATAAACTAAGGGAAAGTATAAAGGACTAGAGGTACAGCTTAAGTGGTAGGGTAGCTACCTAGAAAGTGAAAGGCCCTGGTCAAACCCCAGTTCCATCAAAAAAAAAAAAAGCAGAAAATATAAGTGAAGATAGTAGGAAAAAGTCCAAATGGTTCAATAATTCTGGTAAATGTATGTAGATGCACAGCCTACATCATGCTAAGTGAAAGGAGACAGTCACAAAAGCCACATGTTGTCTGATTCCATTTATTCATATAAAATATCCAGGAGGGCTAACCTACAACACAGTACATAAGTGGTTGCCTAGGCCAGGAGTAGAGGTGGAAGGGGGATGAGGAGTGACTGGTGACAGATACAAAGTTCTTTTGGAGGTGATGACGATGTTCTAACATTGGATTATGGGGATGGTTGCATAACTCTATCATTATACTAAAGACCATTGAGTTGTACACTTTTATGTAATTCATACCTCTATTTATGTTCAAAGTCACAATGGAGATAAAGAGAAACATAAAATAACTAAAGGTACAATGTAGCAAGAAGACAAAGTCATCTTTGGGTTGTGTAACCTAATGACCTAACACAACATAGCTTTCTTGCAATTGCAACAGGAAATTTGAATGTATCTTGTTTGGAAACTGATATAAAACTGGCAAAAATTAGGAAGTTTAAAAGTTTTGAAAAGCTTTTATTTAGTACCAGTATATGGAGCCTGAAATCAAGAAATACATTTCTTAAGTTACATTTGGCCTGTTTGTAAAAGTTCTATGTATAACTATGTATTTGATTTAGAAATGGTTGACTATTGTTCTAAAAATCATACATACTGAGATCAATGCAATTAAATAAGAAATAAAAGACTAAACACACACATGTTCTCATAAACTTATGTTTGTTTTATAAACTTTAAAATACATACATAATTATATGTTAAAGATGAAGTAACAGAAATTAGAATAATTTCTAGTGATAATCAAAATATAAAAACTTGTGAGATGTAGCTAAAAAGACAATTATTTATAAACAAATGCATTTAATACTTTAAAAAAGTTATAAAGGAATGACATTTTCATCAAGAAGCTTTTAAAAACACAATCAAGGGGCTAGGCTATTGACTAGCCATGAGGGTTACAGAACCTCACACACACACACACACACACACACACACACATACACAAAACAGAAAAGAAAAAAAGCAAAATTAATAAAATAACAAAAAGCATGAGAAAAGATAGACCAATTCAAAAGCTAATCCCTAAAATAACTTAACAACAGACAAAACTCAACAAAACTAGTCAAGAGATATAAATCACAAATAAACGTTAAGGAGAGAAGGCAAAATAACAAGCAGAAAGTTTTCAAATCAGAAGCAAATGCTATGAATAACTTTATGGCAATAAATTTGAAAAACAGGACAAGATTAATTTTCTGGAAAAATATAAATTACCAAAATTCACTTGGAAAGGGATAGAAAACTTTAAAACAAATAGCTATTAAGAATATTGAGGGCTGGTGGAGTACTTGAAGCCCTACAGCACCTGCCTAGCAAGTGTGAGGCCCTGAGTTCAAATCCCAGAACTACCAAAAGATAAAAAAGAATATTGACTCCATATTCAAAAGTCTCCAGCCCCACCAAACAATAGGTCTAGGTCATATTACAGCCAAATTCTACCAAAACTTCAAAAGTAGATAATTCTAATCTAATATAAATTATTTTGTTGAAAAGAAAATTAGGAAAAGCTACTTAATTCGTTTCATAAAGCAAGTTTGATCTTTACATCAGAACAAACAAGGATGTTATAAAAAAGTAGGTTTATAATTACTTTTGAAAACTAATTTTAAAATGCTAAATGAAACACATTTAATATAACTTAGCAGTTTATGAAAAAAATATAATGGAACAATGTTGATTTCAGTAATGTAACGAGGTAAAAATGCAGACAATGCAATCAATGAAAATCATACCTATACCTGATTTTCTTTTTCCTAATACTGGGGTTTTAACTCATGGTCTCATGCTTGCTAGGCAGACACTGTAACACCTGAGCCACACTCCCAGCCCTCCCATCTTGATTCTTTTAAAAACCTATAAAATTAGAAAATGCATTATTTTACAACTCTAATGAATAAATTTTGGGCCAAAATCAATGACTACTAAAACTATTTGACAAAATACTGGTATGGATTAAGTATCCAGTAATATAGTATTGTGAAGATGGAGAAGACAGCATTCACTCATGCAAAACTAATGAAAATATAAATTGAGTGACTTTGGAGAGCAATTGGGAAATATCCAGCAAGGCTAATATGTTAATAGCTGAGGCCCTATTCTAGGATAAGTCTAAAGAAGTGAGTTTGCTTTGCATTAGATGGGGTCCAACAGCTTGCAACTGGCCAGGCATGGTGGTACACACCAGTAATCCCAGCTACTTGGGAGGATGGATACAGAAAGAGCAGGAATTCGAGACCAGCCAGGGCAAAGTTAGTGAGATCCCCCCCTCAAAAAAAAAACAAAAAGCAGTGTAGCTCAAATTATAAAATGCTTACCTAGCAAGTACAAGGTTCTGGGTCCAATCACCAGTACAACAACAAGACAGCAGTCATTCATT